AAAAAATATTTTCAATTTCAAAAATTATTTTCTACTCACCAACCAAACATAAGAAAATAAATCAAAAATCTACTTGTTTTCTAGGAAAACATTTTCCATGGAATACATTTTCCTTCGTGACAAACACACCCTAAGTGATTCGATTTTGACAATTGAACTCAGCAGCGGACCAATGAACTAAGAACTAGAATGCGTCAGGTGGTATCACTTCAACACATTTTCTCCCATCTCTAGTGGTGTCACTTAACACATTTTCTCCCACCTTTAGTTCCTTGTGCAAATGATAAATGGGAAATAATTTTGTTAACAAATCAATATCCCCTCACTGATCTATATAGGCTTCACATTAATTAAATTAAAATATTAACAACCAGAGTGCGGTACAGATTTCATTAAAGAGCTTTAAAATGAGATCCATATGCCATGAGTTTTAGTCCATCTTCATCCATATGCATTAAAAAGTTGTGAAGAAAGGCTCGTCCTCATAAATAAGAAAAGGCTGACTTAGAACCGGGGAGCCTCTTGATGTTTCCGATATCACAGATGGTTAGTCTATACTTCCTTCCTACTTCTCCGTACTCTTTAACATATCGTTCCCCTGCCCGTGCTTCAAGATTAAAATTTCTGAATGAGATTTTTTTGTATACTGAACTTATGGCATATATATCAAACAGTACCCCCTCAACAACTTTTTTATTTATTTATTAAACTCTGAATTTTATTTCACCAAAGTATAGGCAATGTACACGACTAATTCATTGGACTCTAGAGTTGGTTCCTACAAAAAAAAAAACAAATAACAAGAGCTGCAATCAAAGGACTACTATCTTAATAAAACTAATGAACTCGACACCTTCTAGGAAGGGTCTGAACCATTGTACAAACAAAAATTCGGACTCTTTTAACATGAAAAGCTATTAACATTTTCTAGTATACTCTTCCACTTGAGTCGTCTCTGTCCCACAATATGCAGCTGCAATATGATTCTTTTTGTGCTTCCCTTGCTACTTTATTAAACCTTCAACTGTTTCTCTCAATCCAGAATGGTACATCACTGCAGCAAAAATATGCACCAATTTCATGTTGGCACATTTTAGATGATACTTGAAGGCCACATGCCTAAGTTGCTTCAATGATCTGTTTAAATATTCCATAGCCAAGGTAAAGAGGTAAGGAGACATAGGATCTCCTTACCTCAGCCACCTTCATGGCAGTATGCGTCAAGAGCCTCCATGTAGAAGCTCTGACACATAACCGGCTGTTCATTCCAAACTCACCTCTAAGAGCTGAACCTTGTGAACAAGACATCCTACCTGAGATAAAGAATGCCAAACATATATCACATAATGCTGAAATTTTCAACTTACTAAGACAACTATTTTTCACTTCATAGCAAAACTAAACATTCTGTTGAAGATATATAAAATACAATCCTAGCTTAGGCAGTTTTCATATACTTTTCGATCCTCAAAATTTCTCAAGAACATGCATACTCTTCATGAGCTACATCAAATTGTGTTAATTACATCATTTTGCCACAAGGCTAATAGACGAAGTAGGAAAGGTAGACAAAACTTGTCCAACTCATGTGGATGTGATGTCTCTCACGAGTCCAACCTATGCAATTATAGGATGGTAACAATATTAACACTTAGCATTCTTACGAATGTATACATAAAGCTACAAAAATAAATTCTTACCTTAAATATTTCAAAACTGTCAATTTGAATGTGAAGGATCTTGCTCTTATCCACTATGAGGTGAAGGTCCATAAGAGACCGAAAATGGTCATCCTGATCAGTTTGTCAGTGAGAGGCAGAAATATGATTGTCGTTTTATGGAAAAACAAAGTTATGTCTATAAGCAAGGAGATTGATGGTCAAGTTGTTGGCTTTGAGTAGTATCCATCTCCCTTGCTATCAATGTTTAAGCATTCATAGGTTTCCATGTCACTATTTATTAAAGATAGACATTGATAAACATCGTCTACTAGCAGGAATGATTTATCATCTGCCAGGAATGTTTGAATCCTCTTGTCTACTTCAATCCAACTACATCCAGGTTTCTTCCTCAACCCCAGCTCCTTCATCTTCAGTCTCAACTTGCGTACCTCATTCCATTTGTTCTGCGAAGCATATATTTTTGCTAAAATAACATAAGTGGATGGATCATCTTCATCCTTTTGAGTAAGCATCTTTGCAATTTCTTCTCCAATCTCTAACTCCCCATGCAAATGGCATGCAGAAACTAATGCGCTTAACAACTCAACACCCTCCCTGGTGTCCGGGTTGCTCTGCAGAATTGCATAGGCTTCACGCAATCTTCCAGCACGTCCAAGAAGGTCAATTAGACATGAGTACTCTTCAGCTGACGGTTGAATGCCATCGCCACTGACCATTAAATTAAAATACTGGTAACCTTCATCCACTAATCCTCCATGAGCACATGCAGAAATTACTGCGAGGAATGCAACTCTATCGGGTTTTACATTAGAATGCAGCATTTCATTAAAGAGTTTAAGCGCTTCAAAAGCTTGGCCATGAGATCCATATGCTGCAATCATTGTAGTCCATGATACCAGATCTCTCTCAGGCAACTCATCAAAGACTTTAAAAGCTTCACTTACTGCACCACATTTAGCATACATATCAAGCAGCGATCCCATAACAATTTCATTGGATTCCAACTTATTATCAATGATACACTTGTGGATCTCCTTGCCATGGTCTAAGGCTGCCAACTGTGAACAAGATACCAAGGCACTAGTCAAAGTGATTGCATCAGGCTTTATCCCTGCCAATTTCATGTCATTATAAAGGGCAAGTGCCTCCAAGTAGTAGCCAGCTGACACATGTCCAGAGATCATTACATTCCATGCTTCCACATTGTTCTTTGCCATCTTACTGAAGATGTTTTGCGCAGTCTCAACTCTGCCACATTTGAAATATAAGTCAACAAGTGAAGCATTAAGAAAGTCATCAGATAGTATGTTATTTCGAATTATATATGCATGAAAAAACTTCCCGTGCTGCAGTTGAGCAGATTTAGAGCACGCCATTAATAAGCTACTTAAAGTCACAGAAGAGGGTTTCATGTTTTCTTTGTTCATCCTTTGTAAAAGCTGAATGCATGATTTGCTATCACCTCTCAAGCTGTACCCAGATATCATGGAGTTCCAAGAAACCAAACTCTTGGCAGGGATTTGCTCAAAAATTTCTTTAGCCTTCTCTAAGAGGCCACATTTCCCATACATGTCGACAAGAGCAGCACTTACAAAACCATCCAACAGAAACTTATTATTTACTAATTCCCGATGAATTGTCTCCCCTCTTTCAATATCTAAAAGCCTCCCACATGATGAGATTGCAGCTGTGTAGGTAACCGAATTAGGCATATATCTCAAATCTTTCATCTTGTCAAAGAATTGAAGGGCTTTATGAAATTGCCCATTTTGATAGTAGCACGAAATGACAGTATTCCAACACGGAATGTCTCTTTCAGGCATTTCATCAAACAGTTGTATAGCAGAAGCGAACAAGTCACATTTGGCATACACACCAATCACTGAACTTGTCACAACAACATCTGATAAAAGCCCAGTTTTAATCAAATGAGCATGTATCATTTGACCATATCGGACATTTCCTAAACCACTACAAGCCTTGAGTACACTAGGAAAGGTGTAACTATCAGGTTTAAGATATGGGAATTGCAACAGCTTGTCAAAGAGGTCAAGAGCTTCATTGAACAATTGGTTCTTAGTATAAGAAGCAATGAGACCATTCCACAAAGTGATATCAAGAGGGTTCTCAAGATTTTGAAAAACCAATTTAGCGGAATGGAAATCTTCGCAAGACGTGTATAAATTAATTAGATTCTTGGATAAGTTAATGTTGCTTTGTAACCCTAAAGTAACAATCTTCTGGTGCAACAGTTTCCCTCGTTTCACTGATGTTAAAGATGATTTCAACAGAGACAAAATTTTGATAGAATCCATTGATATTCATTCGAAATACTAATCAGTCCATGACACCCTCTCTTTTTTTATTTGATGTGATACCATTCAACTATTACCATGACTTAAGAAAAAAATTAGTATATTTTAAGTTTTTTATCTAAAATAATTCTTAGATTCTTGTTTGGTCATAAATATAAATTATTTCTTCAAGAATAAAAAAAATAGAGAATTATTATTTGTAATTATAGTAATATGACATCTTTTTTGGATGGACTAAAAAAATAGTGTCACATAAAATGAGACAAAGAAAGTACATGTTAAAACCCTAATTTTATGGGAGAGTATTATTATTACTCTCTTAGGGGCCGTTTGGCCATGCGATATGGTATTATGATATGGAATCATGAAATGAAATTGAAGCTTTGTTTGGGCATGTGATATGAAATTTTTGTGTTGTATATTTTCTCATAAACATAAAAATCTCATAAGTTGTAAAACTATTAAAATAGCTTCAATTGTTTATTCAATCTTATCAAATAAACAAAAATTTATAAAATCGCATAATAAATTATTATAAAGCTATTTGTTCTCCACTTAAGTAATTGTTTCATCTAACTTTAATTTAATAGAAAAATAATTGAACAATGATATGGTATCACCGTTTGGCCATGCGATATGGTATTATGATATGGAATCATGAAATGAAATTGAAGCTTTGTTTGGGCATGTGATATGAAATTTTTGTGTTGTATATTTTCTCATAAACATAAAAATCTCATAAGTTGTAAAACTATTAAAATAGCTTCAATTGTTTATTCAATCTTATCAAATAAACAAAATTTATAAAATCGCATAATAAATTATTATAAAGCTATTTGTTCTCCACTTAAGTAATTGTTTCATCTAACTTTAATTTAATAGAAAAATAATTGAACATAAATTGTAGTGTACTAGTCTTTAATATAAACTCGTGGATCAATTTTTATATTAAAATATCTCAAATCATGATATGGAATTCTCATATAATTCCATATCATAATTTTTGGAGAATATGGAATCACATCTCATGATATGGAATCATGAGATAGAATCAACGTAAAATCGCATGTCCAAACGCTGATTCCATCTCACGATACCATATCGTGATATGGTATCTCATGGCGAAACGCCTACTTAGAGTCATAAAGATCAAATGGGTTTTTTTTTCAAACATTGCCTTATCATTAATTGTTCTAAACTTTAGAGGCACATAAGTAGATAAAGATTAAAGAATTACTCCCTTCGTTCCTATTTATAAGTCACAATTTTAGGTTTCACGCCTCTTAAGAAACTAGGTAAATTTACCATGTATCATTATTTAGTATTCTTTTGAAGTCAAATTTCAATAAATGAACATAAATTAATTTAGAGAAAATGGCCAAAAGTCCCCCTAATCTATAGCCGGATTCCCACACTCATACTTTATGGGGTCCTATTACCCCCTTGAATTTTATAATACTGAAATTATTACCACCCCCCTCCCCAAATGCTTACCTGACAAAGTGAGTGTATCATAAACAATACAAAAAAATGCCTCACAAAAATTTCGACTTGCACCAATGACCTTTGAATATCATGACGAATAAAAGAACAAAACTTTACTTCTTTTCGTAACTGCCCGAAAGTAGCCAAAAATTACATAAATACCCAAAATGATCGAAAAATCAAGAAACAAACATAAACAATACAAAAAATGCCTCAAATTTTTTTGACTTGCACCAATGATCATAGAATATCGTGACGAATAACGGAAAAAATATTTACTTCTTTTTCTAACAGCCAGAAAATAGCCGAATATTACGTTAACGTCCATAAATGGCCGAAAAATCAAGAAACACACATAAACAATACAAAAAACGCCTCAATTTTTTTTTAAATTTGCACCAATGACCTTAGAATATCGTGACGAATAGCAGAACAAAACTTTACTTTTATTCGTAACTTCCTGAAAAAAGTGGAATATTACGTAAATGTTCCAAAATTGCCGAAAAATAAAGAAACACATATAAATAATACAAAAAATGCCTCAATTTTTTTTTGACTTGCACAAATGACCTTAGAATTTCGTGATGAATAACAAAACAAAACTTTACTTCTTTTCGTAATTGCCCAAAAATGGCCGAATATTAAATAAATGCCCCAAAATGGACGAAAAATAAAGAAACACACATAAACAATACAAAAAACGCCTCAAAAAAATTTCAACTTGCACCAATGTCCTTAGAATATCGTGACTAATAACAAAACAAAACTTTACTTCTTTTCGTAATTGCCCGAAAATGGCCGAATATTACTTAAATACCCCCAAAATGCCCGAAAGACCAAGAAACACACATAAACAATACAAAAAACGCCTCAATTTTTTTTGACTTGCACCAATGACCCTAGTATATCATGACGAATAACAGAAAAAAACTTTACTTCTTTACGTAACTGCCTGAAAATGGTCGAATATTACGTAAATGCCCCAAAATGGTCGAAAAATCAAGAAACACACATAAACAATACAAAAATGCCTCTAAAAAATTTCGACTTGCACCAATAACCTTAGAATATCGTGACGAATAACAATACAAAACTTTACTTCTTTTCATAACAACCCGAAAATGGTCGAATAACGTAAATGCCCTAAATAGCTGAAAATCAAGAAAAACACATAAACATTTCAAAAAAATGCCTTAATTTTTTTTTGACCTGCATCAATGAATTTAGAATATCGTAACAAATAACAGAAAAAAAGTTTACTTCTTTTCGTAACTGTTTGAAAATAGTCGAATATTACGTAAATACCCTAAAATTATCAAAAAATCAAGAAACACACATACAAAATACTAAAAATGCCTCGAAAAAATTTCGACTTACACCAATGACCTTATAATATCAAGACGAATAACAAAACAAAACTTTATTTCTTTTCGTAACTCCCCGTAAAAGGCCGAATATTACGTAAATGCCCCCAAAATGGCTGAAAATCAAGAAACACACAAACAATACGAAAAACGCGTCAAAAATATTTCGACTTGCACTAATGACCTTAGAATATCGTCACGAATATTGGAACAAAACTTTACTTCTTTTCGTAACTGTTCCGAAAATGGCCGAATATTACGTAAATGCCCAAAATGGCCGAAATATCAACAAACACACAAAACTAATACAAAAAACGCCTCAAATTTTTTTTGACTTGCACCAATGACCTTAGAATATCGTGACGAATAACAGAACAAAACTTTACTTCATTTCGTAACTGCCTAAAAATGGCTGAATATTACTTAAATGCCCCCAAATGGCCAAAAAATCAAGAAACACACATAAACAGTACAATAAATGCCTCAAAAAATATTTTGAATTGCGCTAATGACCTTAAAATATCGTGACGAATAACAATACAAAACATTACTTCTTTTCGTAACTATCCAAAAATGGTTGAATAAAACGTAAATGCCCCAAAATAGCTGAAAAATCAAGAAACACACATAACCAATACAAAAAACGCCTCAAAAAAATTTGACTTGCACCAATGACCTTAGAATATCGTGACGAATAACAGAACAAAACTTTACTTCTTGTCATAACTACCCGAAAATGGCCAAATATTACGTAAATCCCCCAAAATAGTTGAAAATCAAGAAACACATAAACAATTCAAAAAATGCCTCAAAAAAATTTCGACTTGCACCAACGACTTTAGAATATCGTGATGAATAACAGAACAAAACTTTATTTCTTTTCATAACTGCTTGAAAATGGTCGAATATTACGTAAATTCTCCAAAATGGCTGAAAAATTAAGAAACACACATAAACAATACTAAAAACACCTCAAAAAAATTTCGACTTGCACCAATGACCTTAGAATATCGTGACGAATAACAGAACAAAACTTTACTTCTTTTCGTAACTGCCCTAAAATGGTCGAATATTACGTAAATTCCCCAAAATGCCCAAAAAATCAAGAAACATACATAAACAATACAAAATAACACCTCAACAAAATTTTGACTTACACCAATGACCTTAGAATATCAAGACGAATAACAGAACAAAACATTACTTCTTTTCGTAACTGCCCGAAAATGGTCAAATATTACGCAAATTCCCCAAAATTGCGGAAAAATCAAGAAACACACATAATCAATACAAAAAATGCCCTAAAATATTTCGAATTGCACCAATGACCTTAGAATATCGTGACGAATAACCACTACTAAAAAAATAGTGTTTAGCGACAGATATTAGCGTCGAACTTTACTCCGTCACTAGATAACGACGGATTCGCAATGGAATAGACATTTTGTCGCAAGAATTGCAAATAATTTTTTGAGTTATGATATAGCGACGGATTGACGACGAAATATTTGTTTGGTCGCTAAAAATGAGCGGGAAATTTTGGCGCCCTAGTTTTCGCTACCAATTTGGCAACCAAGTAAGTGTGACCAATTTAATTAGTATTCCGCGACGAAATTAGTGACGGAAAAATGTCACTAAACATAAAATATATTTTTTATATAATTTAATTTATATAGTGATGGAAAATCCGTCACTAGAATTAAATCTAAATAAATATAATTTTTGCTAGCAACAGATATTAAAATCTGTCACTAAGGCTATTGCAAAATTATGTTTTTGTCTAAGCTAAATAACTTCACTCTCAATTTTCACCTCACACTTTCCATTTTCACCAAAAACTCTCATCTCTCAAAGTAATGACGTTGTAAGCTCTCCGATGGCTGAAACTCTCATCTCCTTCAATCTTCATCTCAAAGTAAGCTCTCTAACTCTTATCATCTCCTTCAATCCTCAATTTCGATCTAAAAAGTGAGCTCTCAAACTATCATCTCTCTATCTCTGATGGGGTTTGTGAAAATTAGAGTTTTTAGCTCTCAACTCTTTTCATTTTTATTTAGTTTGAAGTAATATTGAGATGTGTTGAAAAATAGAGGTTTTATCAGTGTCGATATTCTGAAAATAGGATTTTATAACTTTCAACTCTTTCCATTTTCTTTAGCTCGAAGTAAGTTTGAGGTGTTCTGAAAAT